TCGGACGCTTAACCGACTGCGCCACCCAGGCGCCCCCCAAATCTTAACTTCCAAGTTTCCACTGCTGTGAACAGCCCCGGCCTCCTGCTACTTGCTGCCAGTTCCCAGACTGCCCCACCCATCCCCATCCGTCCCCGTCCCTCATCACTGTTGCCCTCCCAGGGGTCAGTACCGGCCCAGCCTCTTCTGGAACCCTCCTCCTCCCTGCCTCCTGGCCTCCATTCAGCTTCTCCAGCTCTGCCTGTGCACACAGCTGTCAGAGGACCCTTTTAGCACCCCACTTTTATCTGTCATTCCTCAGCTTTGGAAGGTGCTGGCAGACAACCAGGGTGACCCTGTGTCCGGTTCACAAATGTGCTCCCAACCGGCCCAGCCTCCCTTAGACACTTTAACTCTTGGGCTGTCCTACTCCTCAGCCTCACTCCCAGACACCCCACTCTGATGTCCTGGTCTCCCACATCCTTAGGGCCCTCCCCAAAGACTCTGCTTCCTGTCCCTTCAACACCCCGGTCTGCTGGCACGCCCTGGTCCCCAGCTGCAGGAGTGGTCTCCCCACTTGCTGCCGCTGTCCCTCCAGGGCTCCTTGCCTCCATGCTGTGCTCTGCACTTAGACTGGGCAACTCTCACGGTGAAGAGGCAGGGGCCTGGAGGCCAGTGGGTCTGGCTTAAACTTCTGGCTCTGCCACATGGTCCCCAGTGGACTTGAGTCAACGACAATCTCTTTAAGCCTCACTCTCTGCCTTTATAAAACAAGGGCAATGACAGCAGCCATCTCAGGGGACCGCTGAAAGGAGTGTCCCTTTACTCCATTCTCCTTTTTGATCATAGTACCCAGACCTTTGGAGAACAGCCCCTCCCCACTTTACCCCTTGTGCTCCAGCCAGGACATCTTGTGGGGTGGCTCTGGAACAAGGCTACTGAGCTTGAACACGGTTCCACTCTTCCTACCTCTGTGCCCTTGAGCAAATCACTTTACCTCTCTGTGCTTATTTCTTCATCTGTAAAATGGGGACCATAGCACTGACCTCATTGGGCTGTGGTGAGGATAAATGATACTTTATTCCAAGGCCTAGAGCACAGTAAGCACTCAATAACTATTGGTGATTTTTATGGCCCCTTTATATCCTGTTTTCCCAAGGCTAATTTAAAGTTCTGCTGGGCTGGAGCAGGCCTTACAACTTTTTTCTGTTTTGCTGTGGTTGTCCTCTGTACAGGAACTCCGCCCCCCCTCTCCCCCCCAACTCTCAGATGGATCCCAACATGCAAAACAGAGTTTTGAAAATGCAATTGCTCTCAAGTGGGGAGGGAGTGGCTCTGTCTTGCCCTGGAGAAACCCCAGCCCTGCAGGGTCAGGGATGAGTTGACAGAGGCCTCCAGGGCCCTGAGGGCCAGCAGCTAGAGCTGCCCTCAAGGTCATCCTCAAGATGAACACAAAGGGCCCTCAGGATTCAGAGACCAAATCCTTGGCTAGTTCAACTAAAATGATAGATGTCATAGAGCAAGTTAGGAAAGACGTCACTAAGGAAGTGGCTTTTAAGCCAAACCTTGGCAAGGAGGGCCGTAACTTCAACAGGAGGAAAGCAAAGCAACAGAAATGCTGCCGTCGTGCTGGAGAGCAGGGTCCTGGAGGTCCCTGAGAAGTGGGGTGCCATGGGGCAGGGCGGTGACCTGATCGCTGGGGGTCAGCATGAGGAACTCGGCGACATGACCGATGGCTAAGGTAGGGGCCGGGGCTGGGGTGATTCCCAAACTGTGTACCCCTGGTTGCCCAGGGCGCTGGTCTGCACAGCCCCACCTGCCAATCAGTACTCATCTGCATTGAGGAGAAAGCCCACGGATGGTGGACACGGGAGGGTGCGGAGCTCCCACAGCCCCGGGCAAGGGCCGGGGGTACTGGAGGGAGGCGGACATGCCTGCCAGCTCTGCATGAGGTAAGCACTGGACGAGGACTCCACCACGGCCCTGCCAACCAGACCGCTCTCCAGGGGGCAGGACAGCAGGGAGAAAGAAGCTGAAGGGGCAAGAGACCACTGAAGGGACAAAACAAGGACAAGACACCTTGGAGTCTGGAGTCAAACTCTTTATTGCCCTGCCCAGGGAGCCCCGCACAAGGAATCCATGGAGCGGGAGTGAGGGGCAGCACGTGCCCTTTCTACAGCTTGAAGACAAGGGGAGCTATGGCAGGTGGGAGGACACGGCTCCCTTCCCGCTCCCTGATGGCACTGGCTGCTCTGACGGCTCCCCACATCCTGGATGCACGGGGTGCCCTCACCGATGCGAGGCCCATACCTGGGGCTGGAGCCCAGTTCTGTTTACATTGCTCTGGGCCACAGGGGGTCGCTCTGGACATGTCAGCATCACGCTACCTGTCCAGGAAGACCGGGGGAGCCCAGGCCCCAAACTGCAGGGGGAGATGGGCTCAAGTGCCGGGAAGCCCAGGGAGAGTAGG